CACACACACGCACGCACACAAACACAAAGACAAACACACTCATCCCCCCTCACACACACACACACAAAATCACAAACACTAACACACCCACCCCTTTCACACACACAAACACCCAAACACAAATACATTCTACAAAACACCCACTCAACCTAAAAGTACTTTAATAGCTTACCCGTTTTAATCTGCTAAGCATCGTATTCTTCACTATTTATGGCAACTCTCTGTAAGAAAAGGGGTGGCACTACTCATCATATACATGCATTATGTAACCCAAACGTCATTATTCCCTCCCGCCCAAAGTACACAGAAAAAGAACCACAAACACACACACACACACACACAAAAAGAACCCCCCAAACCGGCTTCCTTTTCCTGTTTCTTTCTTCAATCCCATCCATTACGAACAGAAGTGCGTGGTTATAATAATAACCTCTCTTGAATCACACGAAGCACGCCGATGAATAATGAATAGCAAAGAGAGCAAAAAAAAAAAAAGGGCATACTAATCGGATAAAAGAAGTGAGATCGTTGTCAGCGCCATAAATAACTGTGGTTTAATTATAGCGAGGACGAGATCGGACTTGCACATCACATCATTGAATCACGGACGTTTCTAGATTCTGTGTCTTTTACTTTTTACGCCCTTATCGACATAATATAGGAGGTGGTCTTCGATCCTGCCTGCCTGGGTCAAGCCAAGCTGAGAGGGATACAACGTGGCAGCAGAAAGATCGAGGTACCCGATAAAAAATCCTCCGCACACGGGAATCGAACTAGAATTTTCTGCGTGCGAGGGCGAAGAGCCTATGATACCGCTACACTGCCCCACCGGTTACAATCGTGGAGTTGCTGCTTTAAAAAGACAATAAGCCTATAAATAGATCTGTATATCTATCTAGTTCTTGGATGAGAAATAGAGAAAATGTTCTGATTTTGCTTTGTTTTTGTTTTTGTTTTGTTTTTTGTTGTTCTTTTTTTTTTTGGGGGGGGGTGTTTGTTTGTTTGTTTTTGGGTTTTTAAAACTTTGTGCTTTGGGATCCCATTATTAATTTCTTTGTGTGAGT